TTCTTTCTAAGCATACTCTGTGTTTCATCCTGCCATGGCAAATATATATCCTCATGATAACCCTTCATGTTCTTTGAGAAGTTCTAAGATAAGGACTGTAATCTGACCAGTTTTGCACTTTATTTTATTATTTTTATTAAAAACTCAGGTGATCATGAAGTAATCGTATTTAAATACTGCTTCTTCTACTTTAAGCTCAGAAATAGTTTCAAAATCTTAACTTCAAGGATAGAGAAAGGAAGAAAAGAAAAGCAAGAGATGGATGAAAGGGCTTCAAATGATTCTGGTATTTAAACTATAGATATGTTAAATTGCCACCATCTGTTGTCAATTAATACTTAATATTTCTCAGAGGTAGACTCAGGTAAAAATGGGGTGCTGAGGAAATCAGGAAAGAAGAGGGCATTTCATCCTGGGAGGAAAGCCTAACCTCTCCCTACACAGACACAGACACAGACACAGACACAGACACACACACACACACACACACACACACACACACACACACACACATTTTTGTGCAATCTTTAATTTTCAGCTCATTTCTTTCTTTCATTCGTTTGATAACAGTTCATTCTTTCATTCCATAACAGATTGGAATGTATTGTCTTTGCAGAAAAGACTCATGATCTTGGAATCCTCTTGGAGTCATGTCTCCTTCTTGAACAGCACATGGAAGCTGTGGTCAAGGCAGCATTTGCATAACACTTTGTGATGTGCCAGTTGTAGTCATCCTGGATCAGGACACTTTATTGATGATTACTCATACCTTTATCATCTTACATTTGGACTACCACAATATACTTACATGGTGCTATCCTTTAAGATCATAAACTTCATCTGATCCAGAGAGAAAAGGCCTGAGTAATAAGGAACTCTAGTTGGTTTGCATACATGAAAGTACTACTTCAGAAGGCACATTGGCTATCCTGCACTGGTTTCAGATGCAATTCAAGGTACTGGTAAACCAAAGGACCTGGGTATCTACTGGTCTACTTCCTATAGATGGCAAAATTGGGTTCCTAATCACAATGAATTATCAATATCAGGGATTCTGAGAGGAAGTATTTTTTATGACACCCTTGCTCTCAAATAGCATATCACTAGAGACAAGAGTGGTTTCTTCCTTGCTTTCTCTTCTTATTCTCTTCTATCAGAGAACAAACAAAGATCTGACCCATCTGGATATCTTTGAGTATAATATTCTAATGGTTCCTAAAAATAAAATGGAAGTGTTGGACATTAGGAATTTTTAAATCATGTTTTTGGGTTATTTTGTTTTGGTTTACATTTCCTCCTCTGCCATTGGATTGATGGTGGTCTTAATTATATTTTAATTACCATATTGGAAATGTGTGCTGCTTAACTGTTTTTTAAATAGGGAAGCATGTAAGCCTAAATAAATCCTTATAATTGGATTTCATTAAGGCATTTGACAAAGTAGACCACAACCTATTTCTTAGTAAGTTAGAAAAATGTGGGATAGACAACTTCACCACCAGATGGATACATAATGGCTGACAAATCTCACTCAATGTGTAGTTCTTAATGGAACTATATCTACATGCAGGAAAGTAAGCAGTAGAGTACTAAGGTTCTGTCTTAGACCCAGTATTCTTCAATATCTTCATAAATGACTTAGATGGGAAAATAGAAGAATTCATTAAATTTATAGATTACACCAAACTGGCAGGGTTAGCCAATGACCAGAAGATGGGCTAGTGATCCAGAAGGATCTCAACAGACTTGAACACTGGGCCCTATTTAACAAAATGAAATCCAATGGTGAGAAAAGTAAGGTTTTACACTTAGGCAAGAAAAACCAAGAGTACAGGTATAGAATAGATGGAACTGGCTCAATAGTAGCAAGAGGGATCTAGGAGTCCTCATAGATAACCACTTAAATATGAGCCAGCAATGTGCTGCTTCTACCAAGAAAGCCAATACAATTGTAGGCTGCATTAACAGAGGAACAGAATCAAGATCACATGAAGTGTTAGTGCTGCTTTATAATGCCTTGGTAAGACCACACTTGAAATACTACATCTAGTTTTTGTTGTCACAATATATATAAAAGAAGATGTTGAAACTCTGAAAAGAGTGAAGAGAAGAGCAACAAAGATAATTAAGGGGGCTGGAGGCTAAAGCTTATGAAGAACAGTTAGAGGAATTGGGTATGTCTAGCCTAGTGAAAAGAAGGACTAGGGGATGACATAATAGCAGTGTTCTAATATTTGAAGAGCTGCCACAAAGAAGAGTGTCACTGCGTTATTTTATTTACCAGCTGAGCTCATCATTTCTGGACTATCAGACTTTCCGTACCTTGCCAAGAATTGTTATCAAAAGCTACTACGCATGTCCATCCACCCACATTCCTTCACACACTCTTTCCTTTGTTCTCTTGCCACGGGTGCCGGTTGCTGAAAGGCAGCTGGCCCAAATTACTTCCAAGATGTAACAATTTACTTTTCTTAGTTAGTGAGGTGTTTTATTTTCTTTATAACAAATAAATGAGTTTTATTAGAAACCTTCCTCGCGTTTCTTTTCAGAATATTGCAACTTGGAATAAGCCACGATACATCTCCTCTAAACCAGGGTAATTAGTCCCAGAGCCAAACATGGGATTAATATGATAAGAAATCACGTAAAAGTACTTCAGGTTATATGATGTTCTTAAATGGATGTCCTGTTTATTGGCAAGTACGTAAACAGAATTTTGTTTCTTGTTCATCTACTGAAGCTGAATATGCTTGTGTTTCAGATGCATGTAATTCCCTAACTTGGTTTGATGCTTTAGTCACAGATATCTGGACACACCCGATCCGACCGATCACCGTGATGGAAGACAATGAATCGGTGGTTTATATTTCTGAATCTCATTTCACAGGTTCTAGGTCCAGACACATTGACATTCGTTACCAAAACATAAAGCATTTAGTGAAAAAAGGTTTTGTCAAAATGCAATATATATCTACACATGATCAAATTGCTGATATGCTCAACAAACCACTTCCAGCAGCTCAACACGAGTATCTGCGAAAGAAGATGTGCCTTATTTGATGATGAACTGATATTCGCTCAACTGGCAAAGAAGGGGAATGTCACTGCGTTATTTTATTTACCAGCTGAGCTCATCATTTCTGGACTATCAGACTTTCCGTACCTTGCCACGATACATCTCCTCTAAACCAGGGTAATTAGTCCCAGAGCCAAACATGGGATTAATAAATGCCCTGACAAAGAGAATCAACCCAGAGGTGAAATTCACTTACCTTCCCTACCCGTTCGCAAATGTGCGCGCACCATCATCCGTGCAAAGCCTTCTTTTGTGAAAATTGTCGCAAAAAAGTGACGTCATGACATCTGCGTGGGTGGGCAGAGCTTCCCGCAGCTGCTGCTACCGGTTCGCCCGAGCTGGATAGAACCTGCTGAATTTCACCCCTGAGTCAACCAATTTTCCAGAGCACCAGAAGGCAAGACAAGAAGCAGTGGTTGAAAACTAATAAAGGAAAGAAGCAATCTAGAACTAAGGAAAAATTTCCTGACACTGAGAACAATTAACCAATGGAATGGCTTGCCTTCAAAATTTGTGGGTGCTCCATTACTAGAGGTTTTTAAGAAGAGATTCGACAGCCATTTGTCCAGAATAGTATGAAATCTCCTACTTGAACAGAGGGTTGGGCTAGAAGACCTCCAAAGTCCCATCCAACTCTGTTATTCTGAATAAAAATATAACATATTTTAAATGGCATTGAAATATTCAACTTAGCAAAGCTAAGGAAGTAACAATATTTCAATTCTGCAAAGGACCTTCACAAATCATCGCTATTTTATAACTTTTTTGGCCTACTTCTCATATTTTTTATCAATGCATAGAAATAAAGTCCAGTTCATAGAATCTTAATCTGCAATATATCTCTTAATTTTGTATGCTATGATTTCAGGAGACAGATTTTTGGTCTCGGTATTTTAATCAATGCCAAGTTGTATTTCAGTATTTTAGATTTCATCACATACTCCCAATTACTGCAATATTGTCTTCAGTGGACAAAAAAAAAATAGGAGAAAAATATAGTTTGATTTAGAAGACAATGAGAAGACAGTAGAGTGGGGGACTATTCCAATGAACACATAGCCTCCAGACTTCTCAGAGACCATAATGGGCCTTGTGACAGTCCTTATATAAGGACCATTGATCCACTGCCATTTTCATTTCCAATCTTGAGAAAATTATTTCATTGAATCTCTAATTTTGGGCTCTTAAATCATGAGTTTGAAGTATCATTATTTAGTCTCTATTATCCTTTTTTAAAGAGCTGACCTAATACCAGTAGTCAATTTGTTAAAGCACTAAATATGTCAGTCTTTATACCAAGGCTTGGCATTATATCATAGCTTCGGATCTTTAACCCATTGTTTTGCACTTGCATGAATTTGAGAAAGGACTCTTCTATACAACTTAGATCTTAATCACAAACAAGAATGAAATCTTAAATGTACTGTATGTTTGTATAACAGCTTTCTTTAGCCTGACAACTTCTGGTTCCTGCCTTACCAATCTCAGCCATTTCAAGATATATAATGTGTTCCCTAATTTAAAATATTTTGTGCCCCAACCCCCAACTTTATAAAACACTAAAACAGCACTATTGTCCAATATTGAATTAATCTCAGTTAAGAAGCATTCTAACAGCTTTTCAGAAAAAAAAAGCAGAAATGAAAACCAACATATGAGCTGTTTCTTTCATAAAAAGAGCTGTTTATATCATATTTTTGTAAAAATAAGACTCTTCTATTATACAAGAGGCTGTGTTCTATTCTTTAATATTGTCCAGTGCAATCTTTGCTCCTATGTTACATCGGCCATGTAATTGATTCTGGGAAATATCGTTCCTACAAATCTGCAATTGCTGTCTTTGGTCTTATTTCAATTACTTCTTTCTTTTCATTTAGAATTCAGGAACACTGCAACTTATTTCATAAAATATTTCATAAAGAAATGTCTGTTAGAAAATCCTATAAAAATTATTTGCTGTCATCATTTGCGCTGGTTTCAATTATAGTTATCTTGAGACTATGTGATCTGAAGTCAGTAATAACTGCTTTGTAAATTCTATCCCTTTGCGTACTAATTTTCTTATGTTAAATGCTATATGCATAATCAAAGAGATAAATTATGTACCCGGAAAGCAGGAATAAAATAAAGTGAGATTTTACAAGCTGTTGCCTGTTCCTGATGAAACCATCCCCAACATTCTCATTTTAAAAGCATAGCCACTGGTGACAGTTGTGAAGAGTTTGCTTTCTTCCTTGCTTGTTCTATTAGAGATTAGAACGAGTTACTTGCTGCGGCTCATTTGTGCCTGTCTACCTCCTTGCGACTTTGATGCGAACTTCAGCCTCTCTCATCTGTCTGTAGTCTTCAGTGCTGTCAACAAGCAACCGATTTGGCTATCACAATGCTATTCCGTGTTGTCATTAGAAGCAGCAAAAGAAACAAGGAGAGGTAAGGAAAATGGTCTATAGTAAAACTCTGCAATGATAATCTGAAGAATGACTCAAACATAATGGTCAGTAATTGCAGATTTGTAGGAACGGTATCTCCCAGAATCAATCACATGGACGATGTACCATAGAAGTGAAGATCGCACTGGACATTTTAGCAGCAACAATTGCTGGCCCAGAAAATCAGAAGCCCACATACAAGAAAATCATGTTTATCCATTAAACATATGCAATATCTGAAGAACTACCATACTGAGGCATTTTTTGCCAGTGCAGTGCAATGAGCCTCATATTTGAATCAACTATTAAGAACCATTCAGGTAAACAGCTTGGTTTGTGATGATAACATTCTTAGGATGATTCCATGGACACTATTTGGGCTTAGATATTTGTGAAAATGGATCTACCTAATATTAAAGTAGACTGAAGGATGCAGCTGAGGATTTCTTTAAAAAAAAAAGGCAGAGATAAAATAAAACCTGGCTTAAAATAACAGTGACACATTAAAAATATTTCACCAAAAATATGCTGCTTAAATTTTAAATGAGTTTGCGGACATCTGCGCCGGGGTAAAATTCAGCCGGTTCTATCCAGCTTGGGCAAACTGGTAGCAGCGGCTGAGGGAGGCTCTGCCCACCCACGTGGATGTCATGACGATGCTTTTCTGTGATGATTTTAAGCCTCTGCGCATGCACAGAAGGTTTTGTGCATACGTGGATGATGGTGCGTGTGAGTGAAGTGTATGCATATGCGGAGCGCATACATTTGCGAATCGGTAGGGAAGGTAAGTGAATTTCACCCCTGATCTGCACCAAGTTTTTGTTTAGTTTAAAGAACAGATTTGCCCTGGGAAGCCTTTTATGGATGTGATAAGTAACAAGATTAGTCCTATAAACACCAGTCTTATCACTTCAGATTGTTGTGGGCTAGTGCAAAGGAGAAGGCTCCTCTCAGCCTTTTCCAGCCTGGCACTGACAGCAGTTCTTCTAGGATAGGTGATTTCAGTGGATCTGCAAGAGTCAGCATGTGACAAAGCTGCCCTAACCCTCTGGTATGCTCTGAAGGGCTTTAGGCTTGATGGCTTTGATGTGTACTATGAGATTATCTGCATTTGCTTGGTTTGAGGACAGAATAGCAGAAGAGTAAACTCTATCAAGGTCAAAACTCTGTCAAATTTAACTGGATATTAGATTTAGCTGATTTTATCAGAAGATTGGCAAAAAACTGTTTTATAATAATCTCTAACTAGAATAAGGAGCCTAACCTTTCTGTCTAAGCCTACAGTTCTGTGCTACATGGCTATCCCACTTTATGTTTCCAACAGTAAGTTTCTAGCCTGGTGCAGCAATGAAGAAAGCTCACTTCCCAGATGCTTGATGACATTGCTTGTCAATGGGACAAAAGAAGGCCAACCTGCATTGGATTGCATGGGATGGGTATTGACTATATGAGAAAAGGGTTCCTCAGATAACTAGGTCCTATGCCATTAAGGGTTAAAAGTGATAACAAAAACCTCGAATTACATACAGAAGTTTACTTGCAAACAGTTCATACAGCAGTGGTACTACTTGGATCTATTGAAACCCATCACTGCTCATGCTGCTGCATTCTGGACCCACAGAAATTCCGAAAGAGTCTTCAAGGGCAGCCCTGTGTAGAGCATATTACAGTTGCATATTGTATCCTGAGATGACTACTGCATGGTGATTGCAGGGGAGCACCCAATATAAGTATAGGTAAACTGGTACAAAAATTGATCCTGCACAAAGGCCTTCCCAGTCATCGCTACCATCTACAAGAACTAAGAGTTTAAGAACATTTCCAGTTTGTGCATCAGTCTTGAGTTGGGCAATGGATATGGAAGAATAGAAGAAGTGGCAGGTGCCAAAAATTCAGTGGTCCAAGAATCCCCGGCCACTTATTCTTGCTAGGTTTAAGCCTGAGCCTGTTCTTAGCAAGATCTCAACAGTCTCCATGGATTGGTGGGGTTGGTAACTTTGGGTTCCATCAGTTAAATAATGTCATTTGTCAGGAACCCAGAAGCCTACCTGTAGCAATGTTTGCCCTTTGGAATGAGGTTCCTCCTGAGGTTTGAGTTGTTCCCATCCTAATGGTATTTCAAAGGACCTTAAAAACCTGTCTCTTCATCCAGGCTTTTGGTGAAGATGACTGATATCTCTTTTTAGTTCCCCTAAGGGTTTGTTTTCTTTGCCATCATTGTTCTTTTGTATTCTCCTAGTTTTGCATTTTTGCAGGGGATGCAATGGCTCAATGGCTAAGATGCTGAGCTTGTCGATCAGAAAGGTTGGCAGTTTGGTGATTCGAATCCCTAGCACCGCATAATGGAGTGAGCTCCTGTTACTTGCCCCAGCTTCTGCCAACCTAGCAGTTCAAAAGCATGTAAAAATGCAAGTAGAAAAATAGGGACCACCTTGGTGGAAAGGTAACAGCATTCCGTACACCTTCGGTGTTTAATCATGCCGGCCACATGACCATGGAATCATCATCAGACAGCGCTGGCTCTTCAGCTTAGAAACAGAGATGAGCACTGCCCCCTAGAGTCAGGAACGACTAGCACGTATACACGAGGGGAACCTTTATCTTTATCTTATTTTTGCATTATTCTTTGTTTTTAAATATTTTTAGCAATTGTAAACTACCCAGAATCACTGGATATTTGTCAGCACTTAAATTTAATAAATTATTACTGTTACTATTTTAATTATTATGGCTGGTCTCACAATTAGCCAGATACTTAATTCTGAATTTGACATTTTTGTTCAGCTATCAAGTCCTTCCCAAGAACATGGAATAGGCAGAAGTTACCTCCCAGATGATCTTCCCAACAAAGAGGGAGAAGAATCTAACAGGTGGATGAATTAGCAGTTCAAAGAATACAGTCCCCAGCTTCAGGAATAAAAGATTAAACTCTTTGCAGCTAACCAAGAAAAGCCAGGTCTTCATTACTTGTTGTTACAGACACAGAAAACTCGTATGTTTTTGCTGCCATTTTATGGTCATCTGCATTTTTTCAGCCTAAATTTCACAGTCCTTAAAACATAGTTGAAAAAGACCCTTCTTCAGAGCTGGAGATAAATTAGAACAAGCTTACTAATTTGAATTTTGATAAATAATTAATCATTGCCACAATCATAACCATTATATACATAGTTTGCTCCCCATGACATCTATTTTGTGAGACTGACTAGAAGAAGTTGTCAAATTTCTAAAAATATCTGTAGCCTGCAAAGCTTTCTACATTAGGTCTCTCATAAGAAAATACAACAAAGGAAAAATTAAACTATCTTGTTCTACTGATTTTTATTTTTGTATATATCTCTGTAGCTCCAATTCCACCATACTGTACTAATAAACATTTTCCAACAATTTACAAACTCAGTTCTTAACTGAATGAATTCTAAGATGTAATAAACCACCTTATCTGATAGTTCGTATGAATACAGTGGGTGTAATAGACACATTTAATAAAATGTAAGATATCTTGAAGAGAAATGTTAAGTCACACATGCTTTACATCGAGAACTTAAGACTGGAGTTGTTTGATCTTACTTCTGTTCTATAAAACTATAATTCTAACAATATACATACAATTAGACCTGGTCTAACCCTAACCCTTTCCCAAATTAAGACAAACAGTATTTCATAAGGCATCATTTCTTAGTAGTACATTTTACTTAGATTAATCAATCTCATTGCCAAGCAAATGTAGACTTAAACATTATTATGATGATGTTACTGCCCAATATCTCATCTATAACCACATTTTTTTAGCATAAAGCTTGCTATTTCTGGTGATCTAAGATGCTTAGCAATGATGCATTTTACCTTTAGTGTTTAGTAGGCTGAAGGTTCCATCGTATTTTTCTGGCCAGTATATACAAGCTGATACTGTGATCTCATTTCTCTGGTTCATCCTTCACATCCAACCTCTGACAAAATGGACATGGAAGTTGTCAGGCATTGTTGTCAGTGACACTGATCAATTGTGCAATTAGTATAATAAAGAAGATATACAAAACAATAAATATATTAAAAGCAATACACACAATATTTGTATCATTTCTAACAGAAGGATATACAAAGTAAGGCAGATCAGTAAATGTCAGGATAAATTTTGTTCTTCACTCAAAATATATCAAAAACAGAAGTATGAAATTCAAGGTCTTTATGAATTTTTTACCAATCTCTTTCTAACATTACTGTGATGAAATCCAGCATGAATAACAAGACTGTTGATCTAGTTTGAAGATAAACATTCTGTTGAAGGTAGATAGTCTTTCCTTCCTCCCTCTAAGTCAGGAGTATGTTCTTAGCTAACCTGAGAGCCACAGATTGGAACTAGAAAGAAATATCTACTACTTCTTAAAATTCCTTAAAAGCAGAATGGAGGTAAATTGCTACCACTGGGCAGTTCTGATCTGTAGTGTTTGAGGTCTGTTTTAGTTCATGCTTTGGAACATATTTTCACAGCAAGGACAAGCATAGAGTCATTTCTAAAAAATGAGTCAACAAAATGGAGCAATTAGTGACCATACTTCAGCTGAGTGAGGAACAAATTAAGGAAAGGAAACCAAGTGGTGAATTCAGTTGGTTTCATTTCTCCTCCTACTGAGTGTCTCCAAATATTCTTAATACATAGTGGGACATAGTTGGGAAAGTGTAGGCAGATATTTTGAACAACTTGGATGACTAATATATCACAGGTGTGGAGGTGCTCAGTGCCTATGACTTGTCACTTACGCTATTTTAGATCACCAGTTTAGAGCTGTTTTGAAAGACACTAAATGTGTGTCCAAAAATAGCTCACTGACACACTTGGAAAACAGGTGTGGGACGAAGCAGGTTGGAGCGCTCTCTACTTGTGATCTGTCAGTCTATTTCTGAAGATGGTTTTCTAAAAGGTCATACCAAGTTAGGGAGATAAGGGTCTGCACAGATGGTAATGGGGGTGGGGGGTGGGGGAATGAATATATTAGAGAAGAATGAAGGAGGTGAGAGGAGAAGGAGAAAGAATGGAAAATATTTATTACAGGTGGCATCCGAGCAAATTGTGGTAAGGAAATTACATCTAGGAAAAAACCATAAGCAGAAGGGTAAGGAAGAAAATTAGCTAAAAGACTCTTGTACAGATTGGTTCATAAAATGCAAGAGACAATTATGAAAACAGCAAACTACACACTTCTATGTTATTAGTAAAAAGACCCACCATGCTATTGGATCACAGGAAGGTTTTTTAAGAAAGAAATTCCAAAGACTATGCTCTAATATTCTGGAAACTTTTAACACAGTCCCTTCTGCTTAATAAAGTTTGCTAAAGAGCAAGACTGATTTATCCATTAGGCATAACAGGCACAGGGTTTAGGGCTCATGAAAAGTTTTATACTGTTTTTAATCAGAAATAATAAAAATGAAATACTGTAGAAGTTATTTATTTTGATGTCTTGCCTTTCAGTCTTGAAAACAGACATAATAAATAGAATAAAATTAAATAAAATTAAAATTAAATATATCAGTAATATATTAAATACCACCAAGATAATTTTATTTTATTTTTATAGAGAGGGGGCCAAAAATGCCCAGTACCCACAAAAGTCATAATGTGACCCTGCTAAAGAAATTCTTTGAAGGTCATGCTCAAGAGGAATGATTTTCAGTTTTAAGCTGCTGCCAAAATCTTTTGTACGGAAATTGGGTAATGGGGACATGGAAACTGGAACAGCCAAAACAAGAAGACTGCAAGAAAAGCTAAAGATTTTGATTCATGCATACTGTAGTACCCTGAAAATTAGAATGGGAGGGCAAAAGAATGAGGAATAGCTTACGAGAATGTGAAACCTAGTAGGTTTCTGCAGGTCTGTGAACCTGAAGAACAGGAATCTCCTTAGATTCCTGTGTCCAGGTTGTAAAAATAAAGGTCAAAGCAGGGCTCCCTCCTCTGCTGTCCCCACACCCAAAAGCAAAAAGCAAAATGATTAATGTTAATTCAAAAAAGTGCTCCAGCAAAGCTTGGACCTTCAGAGAGGCTGGAAAGAGGGGGTGGGAAACACAGAATCTGTGATTTTTGTCTTTTTGTTAAACATTATAAATCTGAGGCAGTTGTACAGTAACATAGAATCTGGTGTATATAGCTTGTGCAGTTATCTTCTTTTATTCTTTTTTTTCAAACATTTGGTGAGGGGGGGGATCCATAGGAGAAATGCCACTTCAGACAAAGCTAAAACCCTTCCTATTAACTCATGTAATTAGACTCTGAAATATCTCCAGTGAACTTTTCATACTTACTTTAAAAGAAAGTAGGAATACATTGATGCTCAGAAAGGTATGAAAAAGATATTGTCCAATAAAGAAAGTTCAAGAAAGACTTCTCTGTGGATCTCTGTGGGAGGAACAGAATATTACTTCAGTGAACACCATATGGCATAGCAGAAAGAACTATACTGTAAATTACATAGCTCTATTTCCAATGTGTCATACCTATATTTCATTTGAATAGAGAGTCTTTGCAAATCTAAAAAAGTGTAATTCTTACAGTGCATCCTAACTCCTTAAAAGAAATAAGGATTTGATGGGAGTTTCATTACTACAGCACATAAAGTTACTCTATAAAATTGCCATAAAATTGCTCCAAGACTGTCCCCACTAGAATTTGGGGAGCTGGAATAAGTTTCAAAAATCGAACCATTAAGGTGGAATGGTAAAGGCCTAGTTTTGAAGGATCCAGAGCCATTTATATTCTGGATTACCAGCTCTGCCCATTATAGAATTGACACAGCTAATTTCTTCCCTTCCTGCATTTTCTTTGGAAGGGGAACATTTAAATACAAACCTGTGCCAAACTGCACACACACACACACACACACACACACACACACACACACACACACACCATCTGGTAGCCTGACTAGCCAAAATAGAACTTGGGAACAGCAGTAGATATGCTATTCCACTCCTCTCTAGTCTAATTTAGGATAGCTTTCTCTATACTTATTTACACAGAATTTGACAAAAACATTAATCCCATGACTCTGGAACTCTTTTTGTTTCTAAAGTGCATCTGACAGCAAGTAGTGAATAGTACTTAAATTAATTCCAGGTTTTTAAGAATTGTTCATAATGGAAATCAATAAGAACACTCATTTTCCTCCCTTTATCTGCTAGTTAGTTAGGTGGCACTGAATCATGCTCAGCTCTGGAAATTGCATAGTCAAATGCCTGCCATCTCAAATTGTTTCTGGTAATAATTTATTGACATGCAATTTGCAATAACTCCAGATTTTTTGGTCTCCAATCTTGCATGCCAAACACCCTTCTTGTTGATTTAATCAAGTGATTTAGTACCTCTTGAAATTTGCCATAGAATTTTTCAATTTCTGCCACTACAACACTTATAATAGATGTGTATACTTGCACAACATTGATGTTCACTGGATATCCACCAATTCTTACAGATATGATTCTGCCGTTTATTAAATGATGGCTGAGTACATACTCAGCAATGTCCTTTTGGAGTATCATTGCCACCTCATTACTTTTATGTTCTCATTTCCTGAATAATGCATCACATAATCATCTGATTTTAAAGTGCCTCCCTGTGGTCATCTAAGTTCAGTTATTCTTGAAATACCCAGTTTAGTATGCTTCATTTCCATGTTGACAGTTTGAACTATTCCTTGAGGCTTGTTTTACATACACCATGTTTCAATTCAGGAGCCGTGGTGGTGCAGTGGTTAGAGTGCAGTACTGCAGGCTTAATTCTGCTGACTGCTGGCTGCCTACAATTTTGCAGATCGAATCTCACCAGGCTCAAGGAGGTTGGTAAAATGAGGACCCAGATTGTTGGGGGCAACATGCTGACTCTGTAAACCATTTACAGAGGGCTATAAAGTACTGTGAAGTTGTATATCAGTCTAAGTGCTATTGCTATTTAGTTGTATGTGTCCATGTAGGAAAAGAAATCCTTCTTTCAAGACTGACATCAAAGTGATCAAGTTTTATTTCAGCTTTAGGCTGTTCAGCAGTGACTGTTCAACACAAGAATATCTTCTGATCTTTATTCTTATTATCCACCCAAACCTGCCTAAATGTTTCCGTAACACGCATTCTATTTTCTTTCAGATAATGCAGAAATGGTTTGCTATTATCTTAGCAGAAATTCAAACTTGCAAACATCATTTTAAGGTCACTGAAGATACTGAATTCTCCTACCAGATTTCTTTTATTTATTAAATTTTTATGGCACCCATCTCCTCTACAAGGTGACTCTGGGTAGCTCAGGGTAGCAATTGCCCAGGAAGGATTTTTTTATTATTTATTTATGCTTATAATTGCTAGTCTGTCTGACTGAATATACATGGAATGAAAAAACACTATAAAGCATTATTTCTTTTCTTTTCTTTTTTTTTAATTTTTTATTGAGTTTTAAACAGAGATATAAAGACAATACAAAAAATACAAAGACATTACAAAGACAAACAAGTTCCCACCACCAACCTACCCATACCAAACTTTACATATATGTTTTGATCATCATCAGAATATATATTGCTTTATAAATTAATATATAAGTAATACTTTGTCAATTTGGATGTTTTAGATTGGAAATAATCTTGCATCTCCTCTTAATTTATTTATTTCCGGTTTTATTTTTTCTACCCTATTTTCTTTCATCTATATTTGTACTGATTTTCTTTTCTAGCCATTGATACCAGTGGTATCAATGGAATTAAAAGTAATAATTATACACCGTCACTAAGGGGGAAAAAAGGGAAAATTAGGTTTGTATATATGTGTACTTATATACATTATATATACTTTGTGTGTTGTTTGTTGATATTGTTGATTGTATTTTAAGGCTGTGAATGTTTTATATAATTTTATTCTTTTTTAAATTTAATAATGTTTGTTTTTAAAACGAAATATAAAAAAAGGTTGACTCCTTCTGAGATTGGTAAAATGAGGACCCCGATTGTTGGGGGCAATATTCTGACTCTGAAAAACAGCTCAGAGAGGGCTGTAAAAGCACTGTGACGCGATATATAAGTCTAAGTGCTATTGCTTCAGTGAAATAGTTATATGACCTATGAAGCTAAATTAGCATTAAAGGAGAAACATTTGCAGCTCAGGGTTGAAATGAGGGGTCCTTGGTGGTCTCTGAGCTTGTTTTCTTGCAGATGTTTCATATGTTCTGTTTCCACAATTTCTCCCAGTTTGCCAGTTGAATGTTGTGCCCTATGTCCCTGGCCCATCTTATCATATTTTCTTTTACTGTTTCTTCCAGTAATTTATATCTAAGTAAGTAGTTATATAATTTGGTTATCATTTTTTGTTCTGGGCCTTGTAAAATCTTATCCAGTTCGTTCAAATTATTCGAGATTCCATATTGCTTTTTGTCTGCTATGTGTCTTGAGTGTATTTGAGTATAGGGCCACCAATCGATATTTATGCCGGAGTTTTGGAGTTGCTGTCTTGAAATGAGTTCGCCTTCATGATTCAGTAAGTCTTGGTACCTCATCATTTTTCCTATTTCGAGAGTGTGTTCGGGTATAACAATGCTTCCATCGGGGACCACCATTTTGGTATTTTAGTATAGTGAGTTCTCTTAATATCCTGCCAGATCTTGAATAATGAAGCTCGAATTATATGACATTGGAAGTACATGTGTCTTTTATCCGATCCGTCCCATAAGAAAGCGTGCCATCCTCTTATTAAGTCAAAGCCTTCTAAATATAAAGTTCTTTTGTTGTCGAGTTCCATCCATTCTTTAATCCAGGTCAATCCTGATGCCTTATAGTAGAGTTCCCAATCTGGTGTTGCTAGACCTCCTTTGTCCCGTGAATCCTGTAGGGCTTTGATTTTAATTCTGGCCTTCTTTCCCTGCCATATGTAGTTCATTGTTGTTTTGTTGAGGTTCTTAAAGAAATCTCTTCGGGGTGTATTGGTATCACTTGATATAAATATAGTACTCTTGGTAATATATTCATTTTTATTGAGGCAATTCTGCCCATCAATGAGAGTTGTAATCTACTCCAAATTTCTAAGTCTTTTTTGATTTGTTTTTAACACTTTGGTATAATTATCTTCTTTAATTGTAGTTGCTTTTGCTGTCAGCCAAATACCTAGGTATTTTATTTTCTTTACTATTTGAAGTCCTAATTCTTGTTCTAATTTCAACTGTTGTGTTTGGGTCATATTCTTCGTCAATACTTTCGTCTTCTGCTTATTTATTTTGAGGCCCGCAACTTCCCCGTATTCCTCTATCATTGTCATCAACCTGGTTCCAGATCGTATTGGGTTTTCCAATATGAAGATCACATCGTCTGCAAAGGCAAGTAATTTATACTCCTCTCCCCGAATCTTAAGGCCTTCTACGTCTTCTTCCTTCCTGATTTCCGTTAGTAAAACTTCCAGTGCGATTATAAATAATAGAGGTGACATGGGGCAACCTTGTCGTACGCCTTTCTGAATGTCAAATGTTTGTGTCATGTCACCATTTATTGCAATTTTGGCTGTTTGACAGGAGTAAATCTTTCTTATCAATTTAAGGAATTTCTCTCCGCAATTCATTAATTCAAGTTGTGATGTAAGAAAGGACCAATTTAAATTATCAAAGGCCTTCTGGGCGTCGAGAGATATTAAAGCTATTTCCTTATCTATTTTCTTTTTTTATATATATATATATATATACTTTATTGATTTTTTTTAAGGCAAATAAAATATAATAGCAATTTTGTTTGACATCGGATTCGCAGTGTTTATACATATATACATGAAAAAAATATCTGGTGTCATTTTATACTATACATTTCTAATTAATTTCCGCACCTTTAACTCCTTCCTTGATTCTATCATTTATCCATTCGTACCATCTTCCCCATATCATATCGTAATCTGAGTTTTCATCATCACTTATCTCGTATGTTAATTTACTTATCTCTGCACACTCTAATATTTTGCTAATTATAAGGTCATCTGGTGGTAGGTCTTTCTTTTTCCAGTATTGAGCGTACGCCAGTCTGGCAGCTGTAGTTATGTGTATTAGGAGGTGGACCTTTTCCTTTCCATGCCCTTTCTTTACCATTCCCAGGAGAAATATTTCTGGGTTCAAATCAATTTCTTCTTTGAGTATGTCTTTCAACCATCTCTGAATTTTGCTCCAGTATCTTTTGGCTTCGGGGCATGTCCACCACATATGAAAGAAGGTGCCCTGACCATGACCGCATTTCCAACAACTTGGGTGTACATTGGGGAACATCTGTGCTAATCTTGCAGGTGCTAAGTGCCACCTATGAAGCATTTTGTAATGATTTTCCTTGTACGTGGCTGCTCTAGTTAATTTATAGTTTTTATTCCACGCCTCTTCCCATTCGTTGAAGTTCA